AAAAAACAGAGTTAATGTTTCGGGTCCAGCGACCCTTCCTCAGAACCGAGGCAGGGTCACTGGACCCGAAACATTAACTCTGTTTTTTCCCTTCACAGCTGCTGCCAGACCTGCTGAGCTTTTCCAGAAAACTTTGTCCTTATTTAGCATGTATGATATGAGAGACAAATAAGATTGATGAAGGCAAGACAGTGGACATTGTCTATATGACCTTCAGAAGGCATTCAACAACGTTCTACATGGTTAGATCACATGGAATCCAAGGAGAGCTAGCCATTTGGGTGCAAAATTGGCTTGAAGGTAGGAGACAGAGGGTGGTGGTGAAGGGTTGTTTTCAGACTGCAGGCCTCTGACAAGCAGTGTCCCGCAAGGATTAGTGCAGAGTTCACTGCTTTTTGTCATTTATATAAATTATTTGAAAGTGAATAAAGGAAAAATAGTTATTAAGTTTGCAGATGACACCCAAAATTGGTGGTGTAGTGGATAGTGAACAACATTATCACAGAGTCCAACAGGACCTTGATCAGGGTGGCATGGTGGCTCAGTGGTTAGCACTGCTGCCACACAGTGCCAGGGAGCCAGATTCAATTCTAGCCTTGGAAGACTGCCTGTGTGGAGTTTGCACATGCTGCCTGTGTCTGCATGGGTTTTTCCAGGTGCTCTGGTTTTCTCCCACAGTCCAAAGATATACAGGTTAGGCAGATCGGCCATCCTAAATTGCCCATAGGGTTTAGGGATATGTAGGTTAGGTGGATTGGCCATGGGATATGCAGGGTTACGGGGATAGGGTGGGAGGTTGAATCTGGCTTGGATGCAATCCAGAGAGTTGGTGTGGACTTGTTGGGCCAAATGGCCTGTTTCCACACTATAGGGATTCGATGGAAGATGGGCCAACAGGCTGAGGAGTGGAGATGGTGTTTAATTAAAATAGATGTGTGGTATTACATTTTGGTAAGGCAAATCAGGGCAGGAGTTAATCACTTAATGGTAGCATCCTGCAGAGTATTGCCGAACAAAGAGACCTTGGGGTGCAGGTTCATATTTCCTTGAAAATGGAGTCACAGATAGACATGGTAGTGAAGGAGGTGTTTGGTACACTTGCCTTTATTGGTCAGTGCATTGAGTCTACGAGTTGGGATGTCATGTTGCAGCTGTGTAGAACATTGGTTGGGCTGCTTTTGGAATACTGCGTTCAATTCTGGGATCCCTGCTATAGAAAAGATAAACTTGAACTTTAAACTTGAAAGTGTTCATAAAAGATTTACAAGGATGTTGCCAGGGTTGGAGGGTTTGAGCTATAAGGAGAGGCTGAATACGTTGGAGCTGTTTTTCCTGGAATGTCAGAGGCTGAGGTGTGACCTTATAGAGCTTTATAAAATCATGAGAGGCATTGTTAGGGTTAATAGCGAAGGTCTTTTTCCAAGGGTAGGGGAGTCCAAAGCTAGAGGGTATACGTTTAAAGTGAGAGGGGAAGGATTTAAATGGGACCCAAATCCAACCTTTTCGAACAGAGCGTGATGCGTGTATGCAATGAGCTGCCGGGGAAGTGGTGGAGGTGAGTGTAATTCCAACATTTGAAAGGCATCTGGTTAGGTAAATGAATAGGAAGGGTTCAGAGGGATTTGGGCTAAATGGTGGCAAATGTAATCAGATTAATTTAGGTTATCTGGTCAGCATGGACAGTTTGGATCAAAGGGTCTGTTTCATGCTGTATGAGAGTATGCATATTTCAAGTGCTGAACAAAATGCAGAGACAATTCAAGGTGTTCAGAGATAGTAGGAACTGCTGATGCTGGAGAATCTGAGATAACAAGGTGTAGAGCTGGATAAACACAGCAGGCCAAGCAGCATCAGAGGAGCAGCAAAGCTGACGTTTCGGGTCTAGACCCTTCTTCAGCAATGGGGGAGGGGAAGGGGATTCTGAAATAAATAGGGAGAAAGGGGGAGGCGGATAGAAGATGGATAAAGGAGAAGATAGGTGGAGAGGAGACAGACAGGTCAAGGAGGCGGGGTTGGAGCCAGTAAAGGTGAGTTAGGGAGGGGAACTATTCTAGTATAGCTGACATCATGAGAAAGGACAAGTACACATCTACAATCTATTGTTGTGCACATTCAATCAAATCTCCATAATATCAAAAAAGCCTTTATATTGCCAAAACATTCAAAAATCAAGCAAGGTTTCCTAGTCAACTCAGCTAGTCAAGGTAGTGAATGTTTAGTAGTGCCAGGTTTGATCAGCAAGCTGTACTTCGTCAGACCAACATGGTAGCACAGATATTACAATTACCTCACTGAGAGAAATTTAGCAGAGTTCAAGCTCCTGCTCTCAGTAATATATGCCGTGTTCAAAATGTGTATATGGTTGTTGAATGGGGAAGGGATCAAGCTTAATTAGTTTCTTGTTTGAGCGATTAGATGAGCGATTAGACAAGGTAAATTCTCTATGCCTGCATCTGGGTCTTTCAATGTATCAAAACTTAAAGGAAGAGAGGAAAGCAGAAAATTTATACAAAAGGGAAGATTAGAAAAGTAATCGTTTAGAAAGGACAATGATCAGGTGGAAATTTAAACAATGTAATTTGGATAGTGAAAGTATCATGAAGATACAAGAAGACCCACCAGAACGAATTTTAGTTAATAAACATCGTACTTAATCATTCAATTAATCTCAATTATTAATTATTTATTTACTTTTGTAATTACATTAATTAATAAGGTTACATGGCAGTCGCATTGTTCAAGACACCATCCTTTTACCTCATGCTCATCAAAGTCTGAGAAGATAGAATCTTCAGTGTTTCTCAAATAAAAATTGGTTTTAAGCAGGCTGAATACAGCTTTTACTGGATGTACAGAATTGACTCTAATGTGGTATCATTATTTTATGTTTGATGGAGTTTGGCAATCTGACAAAAAAGAAATGTCTGTAGGTAATGTTTTGGACTAAGCTTTATTGTTGGAAGAGTGTGGGGGAGACTTTCCTCTGCAGCTGGCTGAAAATTGTCAACCTCTTTCACTGAACAACTTCAACAATTTGCAGTACTCTGCTGCATTTTCTTGAATGACTATTTTTAATAATTTGGGTTTTAATTGGTCCTTGACAAATTCCTTTAACTGGAAAAAAAACAGAAGTGAATGTATTCTCCATCGTTGCATGTGTGATTCAAATAAATAGTAATTCAAACAGGAAAACTTCCTCAGCAACACAGGAACATTGGTTGGGAAAGCCATTTCTGGTATTTCATAATTATATTCCAATTTTCAGTCACACCAAAGAAAAACAATAATAAAAATACAAAATAAAATCTCATTTTATGATGTCTAATGTCACATGGATAAATAGCTGACAGGACACATGATCCTGTAGCATCACGCACATTTGAAATGCAGCTCCCTACAAAGTTTTCTGGTATGTTGGAGACCAGCTAGCTCTAGATATCTGAGTTTTCTCAATCACTGCCTCATTGGAAATTATTCTCCCAGCAAGCTGAAGTGTGAGTTTGGATCCCAAACTCTGAGCAACAACATTGGGGACACTCTCTGTGGCATTATTGATATCGTCTTTGCAGTTAACACTGATACTGCCATGTGCTGGATGATCGGCTTCACATTCATGTTAACCATGATACAATTGGATTATTTTCTTGTCATATATTTGTAGTTTCTGATTAATGAGTATAGGGTTAAAGTACACATTTTCAAGAAAAGTTAATCGAATCACTGTGCTTGTACTGTTAATGTGACCTAAGGGTGAAGTAGAAGGTTTATCCCGTGTTAAGTGGTATACAGCTTCCGTTTTCTTGAGATTAATGATGAAGATGCATCCTTTTGCTGCTGTAGGAACCCGCCTGTGACCAGCGTCATGTCTTCTTGAACAGGCACTTCTAGCATCCTGTTATCCGCAAAGAACAATTTACAGATAAAATTTGTTTTCAATGGTGGTTGAATTCAACATATTCAAATTGAGTAATCAAAAATATGTGTTCTTGATTTGGTTGCATGCAAGTGAATTGAATGTGTCCGTTTGAATTGCCAATTCTGCTGAATGACTTCTATGTCATGAATGAACATGCTATCCAATAAACATCAAAGAAGCTTGAATAATCTTTGCACCCTATTTTGCATTTAAAATGTTAAAATCTCAAAAAAAAAGCATGTTCAGCAGCCTTCTATTGTCAAATTCCACAGAGCGAAACTGTTATCTTCTCCATATATTTTTTCATAAATATGTGCCTGAAATAATGTCATAATATTGTTCAATGTAGAAGATGAGCAAGATAATGAAATTCAATCGTTACAAGAAAAATACACCATAGCTGAGCTTGGATCGTGAATGAATTCGATTAGAATGAATCACGACTTTTGCAGGCCTGCAACGCAGGCTACATAAAGTTACCTTCCAGTCTTAGGGCTTAATTCTGACAGAATTCCACAAACTAGCTTACCACTTTTTGTTAATTTAGACTCATCAAATATCTGTCTCTTTTCCAGAAAGTCAATGGCAATAAATTCCAAAGTACTGACAGTAACAGTAAGACCACAGCCGAAGGCTTCTGAACCAATTGTTGTAGAGTTATCGCATCTTATTAACGTAAGTAATTTTATTATTACATTAAATCACATTTGCATCTACATTATTATTGACCTTTGAAACCAAAGACAGGTAAAGCCCCTATTAAAAAAAAAATTATAAGAACATTTTCAAACATTAAGTAAAGTAATATTAGTAAACTTATTTTAATTATACTGCATTTTGGAATAAGTTTTTTTATTAAAATATAAATATGAAATGTTATGAACCTAAAGGTGAATTTTAAGCACAGAAAAATTGTTCAATAAATTAGTGTAGCTATTTATAAACTAGCTTCAGTAGGCAAACAGGCTTACATTATTTCTACATTGAATGGTTTCATGAATTTATAACTGCTGGCACCACCATAAAACATTAGTAGCAGAAAAGTGTTTCTAATTCTGATGGAGACTTAGCATTACATCCATTGTTTCCAACCAAAGAGCAAGCAGAAAGTACTAGGCTTTATGGTAACATTTTTTGAACAGAAATTAGGGCTATATCACCTTAAGTATTTATCAGGGGAAAAGGAAAAATACACCAAGCTTTATCCTTTTGCCTTCGTAAGGAAGTGCTTGTGTAGATGTTGGGCGAGGAAAGGACTGACATACATACACATATGTGAACACAAGAAATAGGAAAAGAAGTCGGCCATTCAGCAAAATGATGGCAGATCTGTTTGTGTTTCCAATTCCACAATCCCACCTACCCCCCAGTAATCTTTGATTCCCTTGCCTAACAAGAATCTATCTCTAAGTAAAAACCGAAAGAACTGCGGATATTGTAAATCAGGAACAAAAACGAAGTTGCTGGAAAAGCTCAGCAGGTTTGGCAGCGTCTGTGAAGGGAAAAAATGGAGTTAACGTTTCAGGCCCGGTGACACTTCCTCAGAACTAGAATCTATCTCTGCCCAGTAAATACTCAATGACTGCATTTCCATCACCACCTGAGGCAGAGTTCCAAAGCCATACAACCTTCTGAGGAAAAAAAACTCTACATCTCTCTACTAAAAGGATAATGCCTTTTTTGAAAAAACAGGACACCTACTCTGCTCTCACATAGAAAAAGAAATATTGAGGGGAATCTTAAAAGTGAGGTGAGCCATAACACACAACAGGTAGAATTATCCAAGAGGTCCAGCAAGGCCTCTCTTGAGTTGTCACGTGCAATTTGCTGTGCCTTTTATGCAACTGCCAGGCTTCAACGTATTACATTCTCACTAGGCAGTGGTGAGTTGCCTATTAAGGGGGATAATTGCTTGTTAATGACTATCTTAATATCTCACATATCTCGCCTCATTTATTTGCAGCTTCCTATCTTAACAAACACACTAAACAAACTAGATGCTGAGGATTCTTGACATGGAAATCAGAGCAGATACCTAGCGACTTCACCTCATTGCTTCCTGCAAAGAACCTCCATGTTGGACATTAGACACCAACATCCCAGGGCACATTCCATGGGCAACAGCCGCTCGCTGCCTATACTCACAGACATTGGCATCTGACATATAACAGCCTGTAAGAACCCTCCGAGCACATCTGCAGGTTACTTACAGCATGCTTCTGTACTTCAATGCTGCACCTCAGGACACAGTCACATCTATCATTGCAAGGCTGCGGTATGTTCACGCACCCAGCTTATGGACTGGCTAGGCTGCATCTCCAGGCTGTTTGTTTGCTCTCTTAGTGTTAACTCACTTTGAGCCTACCAGGATGCTCACAGGTATTTGCCTTGACTTGACTTTATGCACCTTGTCCCTCAGCCAAGAGATACCACTCTCAGAATACTGTTACAGCCTAGCTGTTTAGCGCAGACACAATTCCAGGAAACTTACCATGGTTGTCAGCAATCCTTGTCAAGTCAAGGAAATTAGCTTTCAGTCAGGGGGTTCTAGCAAAGTAAGTCAAGGACAACCTCCAATACCAGTCCAGAGTCTTGGACATTATCAGTGCAGCATTTCTGCTCATTTTTTTTCTTCTGCAAGACTTCCGAGGTACCTTCAGAACAGCACCTTCTAGGACCAGACATCAATGCAGCAAACAGCATCAGCACGCCAGTCCCCCTGCACAGAGCCTTAGAATGGCAACCAGCTGAGAGGGAACATTGCATCATTCAGCTGCTTGGGCATTCAGAGTCAGGATCCTCTCTCCACAAAGGGTGAGAAACTGAATGTCAGGCAGCTTACCACCTATCTTCACTCTTTCTGCCTGTTACGGCCTGCCTTCCTCTTGGAATGAGAGAAAGGCATGTATTACAAGTGGTTGGCACAGCTGTGACATTCTTTGCACGTGAGGAAGTTCACCAAGCAAATGAATAGGCAGTGCAAAAGGCATGCAGGGTTAGTGGTGTTGGAGGGTGGGAGATAGCAAGTGAGTGAACAAGTTGCAGGCAATAATGAAAGTGGTAGAGCATGAACCATGATGGGAAGTGGCTACAGTTACAGAGATAGAATGAGTATGAGATCCCAGAAAGAAGACGGTGCCACTTATGCTAGCAGTGTGGAAATGGTCATTGATCCTCCTCCTAAATTGCTGAGCATTCTTGCAGACAGCTGAAACTTGGCTGACCCAGTGTTACCCTCTGATCCAGACTGGCATACACTGGTGTTGTGACCTCGTCTGCTATTCCTGGTGAAAGTGAAGTCCTACATGAACACCCATCCATCAGGGCCTCTAGGTCACTGTCCACAGAGTGGAGCACCAATTTTCTCCTCTCTGCCATGACCGCACCAAATGTGAGGAACCCTGCAGCCAACTCCAGACTAACAGTGCTTGTCCAGGTGCTCAACGATCTTTTGTATATTGCGCTAGTCAGAGGATGCCAGTGATTCTATGATATCCTGACAGTGGCGATTGTTCTGGGAACAGTGGGTGGTAGAATGGTGCAAGAACAGTGCAACAGAGGCACCATAGGGTTAGGTAGATAGTCAATGAGGAAGGGTCGCTGGATCCGAAAAGTCAACTCTGATTTCTCACTACAGATGCTGCCAGATTTGCTGAGCTTTTCCAGCAATTTCTGTTTTTGTTTTAGTTATTGAGGTGAGTTTGGTAGGCTATGGTGAGAAAACTCACTGGGCCTCACTGAGAGAAACAATCCATGAACTCTTTGAAATTGGCACATATTTTTAAAAAACCTAAGATTCAGCCCATTCTCTTCACATCCACTTTCTTCAACCAAAATGCCCAAACTCTTCTAAACTATATGGAGACAAGGCTGTTCAATCTATCCTCATAAGACAACCTACTCATTTCAGGTATCAATCCAGTCAACTTCCTCTGAACTGCAACACATGTACATTGTTCCTTAAATAAGGGGACTAAAACGGCACATGGTACTCAGTGCTGTATGTTAATGAAGCATAAGATACTTATATTTATGCTAAATTCCTTTTGAAATAAAGAATTCTCATTAGCCAGAGCATTGACACCCGGGCCAATGACTCTAACTGTAATGCCTGCCCTGCTCTGACCCTATCCACAGGGTGACCTAAAAATCCAGTCCTACATGTCATAGGTATATACAGGGTTATTTTCAATTTAACGATTTTCTCTGAAACCTATATTTCTTTTCTGTGTTTTGTGCCCAGTTGGTATATGACATATAGATTGGAATCTGCTAGGGAAGATTTTCCACTTCTCACTACTTTTTTTAATTCATTCATGGGATGAAGGCTTCATTGGCTGGGCCAGCATTTATTGCTCATCCCTAATTGCCCATATGGCAGTTGTGTGTCAAACACATTGGTGTGGGTCTCAAGTCACTTGTAGGCCAGGCTAGGTAAGGATGGCAGTTTCCTTCCCTAAAGGACATTAGTGAACCAAATGGGTTTTTCCAACAATCTGCGTGGTCATCATTAGACTCTTAATTCCAGATATTTATTGAATTCAAATTCCACCATCTGCCGTAGCAGGATTCGAATCCAGGTCCTCAGAACATTACCTGGGTCTCCGGATTAACATTTCAGCGATAATACCACTAGGTAATTGTCTCCTTCCACACATAAATATTGCAGATTGGCAGGTTATAACCCACAGCCTTTGAATATACATGCACCATTAGTAGAAATTATTCCCTTTTACCTCTGGGGGCTGGATTTGAATGCAGCCCATACTAAAAGTATGAAAGAAAATCATACTTACTGGAAAAACTCAGCAAGCCTGGCAGCATCTGTGGAGAGAAAGCATAGTTAACATTTTAGGTCCACTGACCCTTTCTCAGAACAGTTCTAAAGAAGGATCACTGGACGGGAAACAGTAACTCTGCTGTCTTTCCACAGATGCTGCAAGACCTGTTGAGTTTTTTACAGCAATTTCTGATTTTGTTTCTGACTTTCCTGCATTTGCAGTTCTTTGTATATTTTTCTAAAGTATGAAAGCCTCCTTTCTCTTACAGCTGCAAGGATCTTAAATTAAATGAGGCTTATGGATCAGAATACAAATTTAAAACAGTTACAAATCTACCATGATCTATTTGAATGGCAGAATAGCCTTGAAGGGCTGACTGGCTAATCCTATTTCTATTTCCTTACTTTGGTATCTGTTATTTGTGACACATTGGTATTAAATCTCAATCAAGGGGCTTGATGTGATTGAACATGTTGAATTTGACCACATTGCCAGGACCCTCCTATATGAGTTTGTGTTCTGTACAATATGGGAATAATTGGTGTCAACTCTAAACGAAAATGTTGAAAAATATTTCAATTGTGAACAGTGACATTTCTTTACAAGAGAAAAGCAATGAGCATATGATTTAAGTTAGCTAAAAAGACAACAGATGGTTAAATATTGCATTTAAATGTTTGGCTGTATTGATAATTGTGAACTGTCTAGCTGTGTTGTTTCAACTTATGAAACTAACAGAATCACTCACTTTTATTCCAGGCATTTAGTTTTATGCCACATCCATTTTTCTACATATATTACTACGCTTTGGAATAATATATATTTATACTACATATGTTTTAATTCTGGTTATTACAGGGAACATCTGACTCACACTGTGTTGTTTGGGATGACTCCAAAATGTAAGTGCCAAGAACAGTAATTCCTACCACTTTTCCATGATCTACATACAAATGTTTATTTCACTTACCTATTATTAAGAATGAGATTCTATTTGAAATGCTCATGAAAAATTGCTCGTTGTGATTGATTTCTTTTGGATTATTAGTGACATTGTTTTTGAGTAACTGTGGTTCACAAAGGTTGAGAATAAAAATGAATATGTTCCCAAGTTGCTGAGTATAGACCCAAAAGCTCAACCTCTCATCTTAAAAGAACCCCTTTTCCCCAGAATCAGCCAAATGAACTTTCTCTGAACTGCTTCCAATGCATGTATATCCCTGATCAAGTAGGGAGACCAAAACTGTATGTGTACTGCAGGTGCAGTTGATATAGGGGTACATGGGTTTGCATATAGGGTCTAAGGTCACAAGAGGAGTATGTGGTGATGAAGGATTTGTGAAGAAGTGAAAGCTGAGGAGTATTTTCCCTGTAATTTTTGGGCATAGTGCTGGAGACTTGAGCAGGCTTTTTGCCATGTCCTCTTTGACGACTAGAAACTTCCTCAGTTCTTCACAAATCATGCAGGTCAAATTGCAATCTACCCCAGGACTCCAAGCCCCACCTCCACCAACTCCCAGACTGAGAATGGAGAGTGGGGGTAGCCATTTTAAAGGTTGTTTCCCAGATCTTTTTTCCCACCTTTATGCATCAGTTGTGGAAACAAAGTCAGTGCCTTTGTATCCTCCTCAAAACTTGCTTATATAACTATCCTTCTATCATCTGCAGTTTTGGCTACCAAATAGTTTGTTCCTCCACTCCAGGTCATTAATGTAGATTGTAAACTGGAGATAGGTGAAAAACATGCTGGGGTCAGGGTTGGGAGAAGACCTTAAAAGGGACCAGTGCTGAACCTAGATGACAGATAAAAAAATATATTTCTCCTCTTCTACTACCCAACTTGAAAAATGAAAGCTGCCTCTTGGTATCAGCATCTGCCCACACCTGGAAAAATGCACAATGGTGGGAAAAACGTCCTTAAGTAGTTATAATTTGGTGCAGCCACAATTGGCTGAATGGCTTCTTCTGTACCATAACACTGTGATTCTGTAATTGGCCATTTAAAGGTCTCGATATACTCACAAATGAGAAGACTTTCCACTGCCTCCTCCAATATATATAAATTTGACGTAATGTGGGTGCATAAGCTTTTGAAAAAGCACCAAGGCATTGCAACCAATTTGATAATCCACCCATGTGCCAACCCACCACCAAGGAATTGTTAAATTCAGCCTTTGATTGCTGGAGAGTGCCAGCGAATATGACTGGCAGAGCTAATTCTGAACAATCTTGTTCTGCTCAGCTGATGTCTACAATCATCAAGTCATATAATCAGCATATTCAAAGAAGTAAGTTCCAAAATGAGCTAAATTTCATGGTGTCTATAACACATTTAATTTAATTGACATTTTTTTTGACACAGTAAGTGCAACATTTTTAATTGTTTTGTTTTTACTCTTTGTTATATTATTAAATCTATGAAATGATGGAAATAAAGTCACCCTTCACAATATAATTTAAATACAAATTAACAATGAATAAGAAAGGAAAATCACATAAATGTACAGAATGCACCACAATTCAGAATCCCTACAGTGTGAAAGCAGACCATTTGCCCATCGAGTCCATACCGACCTTCCAAAAAAGCATCCCACCCAGACCCAGCCTCTTACCGTTCCCCATAACCCTGCATTTCCAATGGCTGATCTACCTAACCTGCACATCCCTGGACACTATGGGTAATTTAGCATGGCTAATCCACTTAATCTTCTTATCTTTGGACTGTGGGAGGAAACCCGGCGGAAACCCATAAAGACACAGGGAGAATGTGCAAACTCTATACAGGCACCCAAAAGTGGAATTGTTCCCATTTCCCCGGCACTGTGAGGCAGCAGTGCTAACCACCATGCTGCCCACTGCTATGAAGGATTAAACTTTGGCCAATTAATGTACTGTTTGATCAAAGGTATAATTAATGTATTGTTTTATAGGTCAGTTTTTGAAATCATTCAGAAATTTTTTGTTAATTACAATAAATGCAAGAATAGTGTATCATTCATTTCAGTATGTAATTAAAAAGCATAGGGAGTTTTCTTTAAATATTAGAAAGGGATTAGAGGCTTACTGGTTCCTAGCCATCAGTTATATACCCCTGCTTGGCCACTCTCTGAAGTTGGATCACACCATTTGCAACGTCCATCTATTATTTGACTCCAAGTCAAACTTGCAAACCAATCCCTGAGGTTGAGAGCTGAAGGGATAGCATGTCCCTGGAGGTGATTACCCTGCACCTTAAGGCTATGAATGTAGAGGATGAAAGGGTGACCACCAGACAGTTGTTGAAGAACTGGTAAGTAATGCAGAAGTCCGTTAAATTAATGTCACTCTTTAATAAATATTTAGTTCTGTGGAATTCAGGCAGAACCAAGCCAATGACATCATATCTGACTCAGCTGTTTATTGGTGGGGGGAGGATTGGGTGGAAGTTTAGGGAAGCAATACTATTAGGGGATTCTGACAGATGGGCCTTTTTTCAAGTGCAGCGGTTGCCTCCCTCCTGCCAAGGTCCACAATATCGCTGAGTGGCTGCACTCATTCTGAGATGAAAGGTGGATTGTCAACAGTTGAACTTTGTATTGGGATAAATGATGCAGATAAAAAGAATGTAGTGACCTAGCATACAGACTAAGAGCAAGATCTCAAAATTATTAATTTTCAGATTATTCCAGGTCCCAATCTTTTGGAAATATAAAAATAGGAGGATAGTTCAGGTTAATGCTTCACTGGAGAGATTTTGCAAGAGGGCTTTTGATTCTCGTAATGTTTTGCTACAAATTCTAGTGGAACTGGGATGCATATAGATTAGATAGGTTGCACCTCAGTAGTGATGGGATCAGTGTCCTGGTGGATGGTTTGGTAGCGCATTTGGGAAGGGTTTAGCCTAATTTGGCAAGGCATTGGAAATGAAGATGTAGCATTCGACAGGAGAACAAGGTACATAAAGGCTTGGAAGAAACAGATAGTATCAGAATAGAAAATAATAATGGGCACAATCTTACTGGCTAATTGCCAGTTTCACCTAGTTTCATAGAATCATAGAATCCCTACAGTATGGAAACAGGCCATTTGGCCCAACAAGTCCACACTGCCCCTCTGAAGAGCATCCCACCCAGACCCTTCCTCTACCTCTGTCCAGACCCTTCCTCTACCTCTGTATTTCCCATGTCTAACCCACCTAACCTAAACATCCCTGGGCACAATGGGCAATTTAGCATAGCCGATCCACCTGCCCTGCACATCTTTGGACTGTGGGAGGAGACTGGAGCACCCAGAGGAAACCCACAAAGACACGGGGAGAATGTGCAAACTCCACACACACAGTTGCCCGAGGTTGGAATTGAATCCAAGTCCCTGGCACTGTGAGGCAGCAGTGCTAACCACTGAGCCCCAATGCCGCCCCTTTTCACAGAGGTATTTTCCCTGTAAACCCAGTGAGATGTCTTGCTGTATCTTACCAGACTCGTCTGATTAACTACCTCCGCCACCCCTATAATGCCCCTCTTGCCCATTTCAAGCCCTATTCCACCACTTGCCATACTTGGAACAACTCACCACTGCTGGGATATCCCAGAATGGCCTAGGATCCCTGACACTGGTGCCATCTATAAAATGCTGTTGTGCACATGGATAAGCAATGTCAGTTGCCTTGCACAATTTCTGATAATAGTCCTGGACATGACAGACAGAGGAACAAATGCGCAAGGCTTCACCAAAATTCTCATGTGATTCTACCGTATTTCCTGCCATTGCCCACCTTATTCAGGTCTGTATAATTCTTAAGAACATAAGAAACAGGAGCAGGAGTAGGCCATCTGGCTCCTCAAGCCTGCTTCACCATTCACTAATGTTATGGCTGATCTTTTTTGTGGACTGAACTCCGCTTTCCCATCTGCTCACCATAACTATTAATTCCTTTACTTTCAAAAATCTGCCTTTGTCTTTAAAACATGCAATGAGGTACCCTCAACTGCTTCACCAGGCAGGGAATTCCACATTCACAACCCTATAGGACAAGAAGTTCCTTCTCAGCCCCATTTTAAATCTGCTCCCCCTTACTAACTAGTTCTAGTTTCACCTGACAGTGAAAACAACCTCCCTTCTTATATCTTGTCTATTCCGTTCATAATTTTACACGTTTCTATAAGATCGCCCCTCATTCTTCTAAATTCCAGTGAGTATCTTTATAAGCCAACCCTTTGAACTGCAGACCATTCTATTTTATCACCCTATAATCTTTGCATGGTGTGATCTGCCTGTACTGCACACAAAAAAAAAATTTTGCTGTACCTAGGTACATGTGACAATAATAATAAATCAAATCAAATCATAATCAAATCAACCTAGTGAACCTCCTCTGCACCCCCTCCAGTGCCCATACATCCTTTCTCAAGTAAGGAGACCAAAACCTTACAAGGTGCTTCAAGTGTGGCCCCATGAGCGCCAATACATTTGCAGCATAACCTCCCTGTTTTTAAACTCCATCCCTCAAACAATAAAGGACAATGTTCCATTTGCCTTCTTAATTACCTGCTGCACCCACAAACCAACCTTTTGTGATTCATGCAGGAGGATATCCAGGTTCTTCTGCACAGCAGCATGCTGCAATTTTTCACCATTTAAATAATAGTCCATTTTGCTGTTATTCTTACCAAAATGGATGACCTCACATTTACCAACATTGTACTCCATTTGCCAGACCCTTGCCCACTCACTTAACCTATCTATATCTCTCTGCAGACTTTCAGAGTCCTCTGCACACTTTGCTCTACCATTTGTCTTAGTGTCATCTACGAACTTTGGCACACTACACTTGGTGCCCAAATCCAGATCACCTATATAAGATGTAATTCTTATAAGATTCTGCCCAATAAGGCAATTGGTAAGATCAGACTAACAGTAAATA